ATGGCCTCTCGCTAGAGGCAAGGTAATGGTGAAGCAGAGGGCGCAACAGTACTGGTGTCTCAGCTTTTCAGCTGCACCGTTTTGCCACTCTTCCACTCCAAACTTTGTTCTGCACAGTGAAGGTCAGAGAGGGCCCAGTTACATTAAGAAATTTAATTTGGCAATCAACATGTTCTCATCCCAACGCGTCACATACCGACGCCATGTGACAATCCATCGGTATGTTATGCGTTCGGAGGAACGAGAGCCGTTTGGAATGAATCTATACATGTAAATGTGTTTTAGGTTCTGATCGTGAATCACTTTGGAAAACACTCTCTGACAGGGTTAGGGCTGGAATGGAGGACTGGAGCGTGTTCTGTTGGAATCAATTGACAATCTAGAGTGTCTCATAAGGACGGGTACCTTTCACCTTACTATGAGACGCCTCGGGACGTGACAAATTGTCGCTATGTTACGCGTTGGGAATGAGAATGCTCGGTTGGCAATATGCTGTCATGAAAATGAACCAACTGGCTGTTCTCGGTGCGTGTGGGGCCGGTGCACAGCAGCCCTTTAATTGACCCATCAGCCCGAAAGTATGTCGGTCCGTTGGTCAAAATGACTGGTGTGCCAGATTACCATCCCAGCCCTGTGTGTTACTCACATGTGATATCCTGAAAAAATCTCTTCTCTTTACTGATGCAGACCTGTTTCCCACCAGCAAGGATGAAGGAGCCAGCTCCACACAATACTTGGCAAGCTTTCTGAAGGAAATGAGAATGGCTCCATCCATCCAGCTGAGAGGACACTTCCTGTCTCAGGTCATTACCAGCAGTGACTCCATAGATTGATTTTAAGTAGAAATGTTACTTCCTGGTGCCGAAGGTCAAATGAAGGAAAGTGTTCACTTCCTGTTTCAGATGACACTGCATAGATCAGGTTGGAGCAGAGAAACGCTTCCTGGCGTCAGAGGTCATTTCCTATACGTCCATACATCAGGAGAAGAGGACACTTTCTGAATTCAGGTTTTCACTTAGACTGGCATATATGTTGAGCTCGTCTACCCATAGCTAACACTACAAGTCACATTTCATTCCATCTTTTCAGATTTCGAACATGAGAATGTGGACTAACGGAGGTGAGGATTGGACCACCAACTTTCTGATCAGCAGATAACCTGTCTGCCTCCCGAGTCCTGGCAGTGGAGGGTTAATAGGAAGAACCAACAAGTCCTGACATGTCTTCCTTTAAAGAGATATGATCAGATTTTGAAAAACTGATCCTCAAATATGAAACGAGCTCACGTGTGTGAGCGCATTATTTTACTTTGCAAAGGTCAAATATGAAGTAAAGTCTCAGGAGTGTCATTTCATCTGCTGATCATGTGTAAGAAAAGCTGCTGCAGACATCAGATGGTCATCCAGTGGAAACCTGTCACTCCCAGGCAGGTTTGGCTTCACATAACTCTAATCTATGCTTTAATCCCTGTCTGCACTGAAGACGGTGGGCTGTCGTTAATGACGGTGAGAGCTTTCTTTTCCTAAATGCTGAATTCAGAATTAACACGAAGTCAAGTTTTAATGTGATTACTCTCAACCTAAAAACCCCAAGTTAAATCCAAAGAAAATTTGTGCTTAGTGACACAGAGAGAGGCAAAAGGATGTCCATGTGTTCTGAAAATTCTCTTCATGCTCTCCCACAAACTGTAGAGCTGAAACTGAAGCAACACTTTGCTAATTTCTGCCAAACAATAAAACCAAAAAAACACATTCAGATTCATCTTCAGTAAGAGGCTGCATTTACTCACAAGAACCATAACAAAAGTGTTTCGAGATCAGAGAGGCTAAGGACAATTACAGGAGGAAGCTGGAGTGGAAACTCCAGCAGAACAGCATGAGAGAGGTGTGGAGGGGCATGAAGACCATCACTGGATTCAGGCCAACCAACAGCAGGGGAGCTGAGGGAGGTGAGAATAGAGCTAACGAGTTGAATCTGTTTTTCAATAGATTCGACACCACAGTGTCTGCTCCCACCCCCACAACCTCACCTGTAGTCAGCCTGGAATCCAGAGCCACACCACTGTGCCAGCCTCTCTCTTCACATGGCGCTGTTGCCTCCTGTGAGATTCCTGACACCCCTCCCCCACCCATCACCTTCACTCAATACCAGGTTGAGATGCAAATGAGGAGACTTCACTCAGGCAAGTCTGCTGGACCAGACGGAGTGAGTCCCCTCGTCCTCAAGACCTGTGCCCCCCAGCTGTGTGGAGTCTTTCATAAACTGTTTATGCTGAGTCTGAGTCTGCAGAGGGTCCAGTGATGTGGAAGACATCATGCCTCGTCCCAGTGGCCCCCAGGATTACAGGCCCGTGGCACTGACCTCCCACATCATGAAGACCCTGGAAAGGCTCATCCTGGACCAGCTGCGACCCATAGTAAGACCACATCTGGATCCCCTTCAGTTCGCTTATCAGCCTCGTCTCGGAACTGAGGACGCCATCATCTACCTGCTCAATCGTGTCTACACCCATCTGGACCAGCCGGCGAGCACTGTGAGGGTCATGTTTTTTGACTTTTCCAGTGCTTTCAACACCATCAGGCCGACCCTCCTGGGTGATAAGTTAGCAGCGATGCAGGTGGATGCTTCTCTGGTGTCCTGGATTGTTGATTACCTGACAGGAAGACCACAATATGTACGTCTCCCACAGTGTGTGTCTGACAAGGTGATCAGCAACACAGGGGCACCACAGGGGACTGTCCTCTCCCCCTTCCTCTTCACCCTCTACACCACAGACTTCAGCCACTGCACAGAGACCTGCCATCTTCAGAAGTTTTCTGATGACTCTGCGGTGGTTGGATGCATCAGCAGGGATGATGAGACAGAGTACCGGGCTGTGGTCGACTCCTTTGTCACGTGGTGTGAGCAGAATCATCTGCAGCTCAACGTGGCAAAGACCAAGGAACTGATCGTGGACTTCAGGAAGACCAGGAAACACTTGACCCCTGTTTCAATCCAGGGGGTCAGTGTTGACATTGTGGAGGACTATAAATACCTTGGAGTACACATTGACAATAAACTGGACTGGGCTAAAAACACCACAGCACTTTACAGGAAGGGCCAGAGTCGTCTCTATTTTTTGAGGCGACTGAGGTCCTTCAACATCTGCCAGAAAATGCTCAGGATTTTCTATGAGTCTGTTGTGGCCAGTGCGATCCTCTATGCTGTTGCATGCTGGGGGAGCAGGCTGAGGGTCGCAGATGCCAACAGACTAATCCGTAAGGCCAGTAATGTTGTGGGGATGGAGCTGGACTCCCTCAAGGTGGTGTCGGAGAGGCGGATGCTGTCCAAGATAAAGACAATGTTGGATAACACCTCCCACCCACTCCATGACATGCTGGTCAGTCACAGGAGCACGTTCAGTGAGAGACTGAGATTACCCAAAAGCACCACTGAACGACACAGGAAATCATTCCTGCCTGTGGCTCCCTGTACAACGCATCCACTTAACACACTGTTTACTGCAACAGCTACACCCTTCTTGCACATGTTCTTTTTCAGCTATTTATTAATAAGTGACTTTTATGTATATATATGCCTGTATATATTGTGCTATTCTTAGTTAGTGTATTGTCTGTCTTTGTTAATGTTTGTTTATAATGGAGCACTGTAACAAAAAATAATTTCCCCTAGGGATCAATAAAGTATTCTGATTCTGATTCATTCAGTGTTTGAGCAGCTCTTCTATTGAAATGACTGCAGAAAGACAATAATGTCATTATAGCAGGGAAGTCCAGCTGCGATAGGTTTGAAACATCAAAGAAACAGAAACAGGAAGCAGACGCTGACCTGAGGCGTGAAGCCTGGTGCAGTGAAACACTGCAGATAAAGATTATTAATCTGAAGCTTTAATGTGGCTTTGTTTTCAGATTTTTTTAGCTTGTCGACTTTAAACTGTGTGTGTGTGTGTGTGTGTGTGTGTGTGTGGGTCTGTGTTTGTGTCTGTGTGTGCGTGGGTCTGTGTAGACAGGACTTCACCTGCTCAGTGATTCAGGGTTAGTTTTAGTGTTCGTCTCAGTCAATGCTGAGATTCGTAAATATGACTCAGAGTCAGACAGGTGTTATTTTCAGGTGTGATCAATTCCATATTTATCCATCAAGAAATCTGTGTAGAAGAAGGAGCTTCTTGCCCGCTTATTAGACACACTGATGCACGGAGATCTCAGCTGATGTTAGTTAGCTGCGGGAAACAGTACCTACTGCCTGGTCAGACTGAAAGACAGATGGACAGGCAGAGTCACAGACAGGTTGGTGGACAGACAGGCAGACCGATACACAGACAGACTAACAGAGGGACGGACATCCCAATCGGACCAGGAGTGACTGTTTGTTGTTCTTATCTAACATCCACCTGGGCCTCACTGAATTTTTATCTGACTTAGTGCTCAGCTCAAATAAAATAATGATTGTGGTTGAGTTTAACATCCGTGTAGGTACTAAAAATGACAGCCTCAACACTGGATTTAATCTATCATTAGATCCAGTTGGCTTCTTTTTCATTGTGAACATGTGTACGGTGTGCTTCCTTATTTCCACAACTTCTCCAACATGGGAGATTACCTTGAACCTGCTTATTTGTAATTTCTAGTGTAATGAAAGATATGTCCACTCAAATTCTGCTGAGCATCTTGAGTTGGTTGTTGTGTTCTGGTTTTCACACATAGCTGCCCATTCTTCAGTTGAAATAGTAGTTTTTTTTATCTTCCTCTCCCATTAATTTTTTTTATATATTTAGTTGATGTTGTTGTGTTTTCTATTAGGGATTTATATAGAACAGAGATTTCCTTGACTTGTAGTCTCATATACATAAATGTAATCCCCTATAACCCCGGTACTGGGAGCACTGGGGCTCAAGAGATTAAGCATGCAAGCCACAAAATGTAAGTGAAATTTGTATTTCTTTTCAAATGAGGGACTATCAAGACCATCCTGAGCAGCTGCATCACTGCCTGCTATGGAAAATGCAGGGCATCGGATCACAATATCCAACAACGGATAGTGAGAGCAGCTGAGAAGATCATTGGAGCCTTTCTTCCCTCCATCACAGACACTTATAGCACCTGCTCCATCTGCAAAGCCACCAGCATTGTGCACGACCCCACACACCCCTCACACACACTCTTCACCCTGCTGCCTTCTGGAAAGAGGTACTGGAGCATCTGGGCCCTCACTGCCAGACTGAGGAACAATTTCTTCCCCCAGGCCGTCAGACTCCTGAACACTCAGCGACTAGACTGACACACACGCACAACTTCATACACGTCACTACCAACCACTCGTCTGCAGTATCTCACACTCGCGCTCGCGCGCACACACACACACACCAAGTTACTTTTGCACAGTACTCAGCATTTTGCACATTTCCATTGCACTGTCTTGTGTCTGTATCGTTGTGGCAGGGGTGGTGTGGTCTCTGGCCTGCTGCAGTGGGGAGGCGGTACAGTGAGCTCACAGAGCGGCGCCGAGGTGTGAGCGCTCAATGTAATGATCTTCTTTGTCTCTGTGAGTATACAGTGATGGTGGAGACGGAGGAGTGGGTGTGGAATAGAGCAGCTGTCCCTGAGTGACTGGTGCCGAGAACCGTCAAAACAGTTGCTAAAACAAATAAAAGTGACGTACACGTGCATGAAATCCTGTGTGTGTGTTGGGACCTTATCACAGTTGTCCTGTCCTGTCTTGTTTACTTTTGCAATTTTTTGCACATTTTTATGTTTGTCTGTCAGATGTAGCACCAGGGTCTCAGAGGAACGCTGTCTCACTCCACTCTGTACTGTACCGCTGTACATGTACAATTTTAATAATTGTACTGTACTCTGTTTTTGGTAACTATTGTCCTTGATGTAAATATGTAAAAAAAATTGTGTATGTTTCTGTTCTGTGTCCTGTGTGCTGTTTGTTTGTATATGTGTTTTTCTTGCTGCTGTTACAACCAAATTTCCCCTTGTGGGACAATTAATTAAAGGATTATTCTATTCTATTCTATTCTATTCTATTCTATGGTTCGAATGACAATAAAAGCCACTTGACTTGGCTAGCTATTTATCAATGTTTTCTTTGCTACATAATTCCATAAATCTTGTTTCATATATGTCTCCAGTTTGTATCTATAATGTAGAAAGTAGTGAAAATAAAGAAAAAACATGACAAAGTGTGTGCAAACGTTCAGCTGGTAGTGTACTATAGTATGAGTTTCTGAGCCCAGATTTCCTCCTATGACAGATGTGTTTCTTGTATATTAAACTTCCTCTCTTTAAGTATCAGATTACTTCTCTTATTTGATTATTCATCCCATTGACATTCACTGACACCAGAGTTACATTCCTCACCTTTTTATTCAATTTTCAATTCAATTCAATTCAACTTTATTCATATAGTGCCAAATCACAACAACAGTCGCCTCAAGGCACTTTATAATGTATAATATAATACATACAGAGAAAAACCCAACAATCATATGACCCCCTATGAGCAAGCACTTTGGCGACAGTGTGAAGGAAAAAGTTTTGTTCTGTTTTGGCTTATCACAATCATAGCAATCCACAATAACTCTAAGAACTTGGAAGAAGATGACAAGAAACTGAAAATATATATTTGTGACCTACAGTGTCCCTGTGGTTTGAGAGGTATGACCCTTTACAAATAGGGGCGAGGGGTGAGATCCAGTCACCCGGCCATGTATTTTCCAATCCATTATGACTTTGAAGAAACTATGGTAATGAACATCCAGTCTCTGATTTTCACTGTGCACTTCAGTTTCCATTGGGTTCAGCTGTTTGCCACCTCACTTATAAGTTCTTGGTGTTCCTTCGCTGTGGAGGTCCCTGCTTTGCTGCAGCGTCTCCAGCCAAATTCTACTCCTCCTTAGCTCCTCGGCTGCCGCCACGATCGTATGTCCTGGCGCCCCCCAAACTCTGCTTCAGGTCCCAAAGTCAAACGAACACTGCGGCATCACTTAGAGTTACAAACTGTCTAAATTCTTTCATGGTGTAACAATTGCACCTTGCAACAATTACAAGGAAAAGCACCTTCTGAGTAACAAAGTTTCACAGAGGAAGCAGTGCTTTAGAAAATTAAATAAAGTCAATTTGAAA